CTAAAACTTTCTGCTGTATTTTCCAGAGTACTTATAGGTTCAATGTTGTGTCGGACCGTGTTTCTCGGTCTGTACACCTATTACCGACGGTGTGTAGAGGGTTTTGCCACAATTGCTAAACCTCTGACTTAAGGTGGTTACTAAATTTCAAAAATCCAGTAGGCCACTTTGCAAGATGGACTCAACTAATACAAGAACAGGACTTCACCATCGAACATAGAGCACTGACAAGCCATTGCACTGCCGGTTGTGGGCAGAAGTAGAGTGTAGAATGACGTGGGGGGACGCTTCCTGGTAGTTGCCGTGTTGGCTTCTGAACAAGAAACTGGCCCGAATTTGAAACCAAGAGGTGGCACTTCAGAACGATCTAAAGCGTACCCTGGAAAGTGACGATGGCCAACAACAGAAGTCACAGTTGGTGATTTCGAGGAGTATAGTTCCATAAGTCTTGAAACAGCTGCACGAGGGAATTAGTGATGGCCACTTTGGAACAAAGAAGACACAGGAAAAATTATGCCAAAAGTACGTTATTAGGCGATAAGGACGTTGAAGAATGGTGCAGTAAATGCCCAACTTGCGCCGCTAGTAAGGGTCCACCTCGGGGTCCACGTAGCCGACCTATGAGACAGTATAGTGTGGGAAGCCCATTTGAAAGAAATGTAATTGATATAGTGCAGAGGTGAAAAGTAACTGTATGAATCAGGACTTTGGAGTACCAGTGATAGGGTGAAATAAAGTTGGTCTGCCACTCAATGATGACTCCCAAATATTTCACTGACCTAAACAGACCCAGTTGACGTCCTGGAAGAGTGAGCCTTTCAAGGTCCGCCCTTCTTCTATTCGTAAATGGAACAACTTCGGTATTTTCCGTGTTACCGGAAAGACCATGGCTACTGCACCACCTGTTCCAGAGCCCCCTGCATGAGCTCTTTCACGGTGTTTGGTAACTTCCCCGCTTATCCCAGTGTATACGCTTCCTCCTTGTGTTCAGAGTGTGAAGGAACCCGTCTAGTACCATGCACCACAGCAGTGGAGACAAAACCCCACTCTGCGGACAACGTCTAGTACCGATGAGCTCATCTGCGTCATCCCCATTGAGGCTATAATGACTCTGTCTCCGAACATGACTCGGATCCATCTTTCTATTGACCCATCAATGCCAAAGCTTTCCGCAGCATCATTAATTGTGTTGTTAAACGCACCCGATATCTAAAAACACTCCCAGGGCAACCCCCTCGCAGACGTTCATTTTCACTCTGCACATAAAGCTGTGTCGAATGGTCTCCGTGAACATACCAACCCCGTAAGCATGTTGAAACGGTGTCCGTTAACTTGGCCCCCCCCCCCTGAGAGATTTCATAGTCGTATTATTTTGAAATGAATGCGCTCGTTATGCGCTCATATGCGCCACCGATAATAACTCTTGCGCCATTATCGTTTTTTAGAAATCCGAAAAAACATTTGGGGGGGCCAAGTGAACGTAGCCCCCCCCCAGTACGTATTTTGTCCCTTGTAACTAGGTCACCTGATACATTTGGTTATGCGCTCAATTGCGCCACTTGAATTAAAGCTAGCGCCATTACGGTTAAGCCGTGACAAATTTTCAAAAAGTGGGGGGGGGGGCCAACTTAACGTTTTTAAAAGTTACTTTTTTTTAACATCTTTTCATACGAAATTGTACTCTCAGGTATGCGCTGAAATGCGCCGTAAAAACATATCTTTGCGCCATTATTGTTTTTGGTTATCCTTAAATATATTTGGGAGGGGGGGGGCAAGTGAACGGAATCCCCCATAACGCATTTTGCTACCGGTATTTGTGCCACTTGATACATCTGGTTATGAGCTCAATTGCGCCACTTGAATTAAAGCTAGCGCCATTACGGTTAAGCCGTGACAAATTTTCAAAAAGTGGGGGGTCCAACTTAACGTTTTTAAAAGTTACTTTTTTTTAAAATCTTTTCATACGAAATTGTACTCTTTGGTATGCGCTGAAATGTGCCGTAAAAAGATATCTTTGCGCCATTATTGTTTTTTGGTTATCCTTAAATATTTTTAAATCTTTTCATACGAAATTGTACTCTTTGGTATGCGCTGAAATGTGCCGTAAAAAGATATCTTTGCGCCATTATTGTTTTTTGGTTATCCTTAAATATATTTGGGGGGGGGGGGGCCAAGTGAACGGAATCCCCCATAACGCATTTTGCTATCGGTATTTGTGCCAATTGATACAGCTGGTTATGAGCTCAATTGCGCCACTTGAATTAAAGCTAGCGCCATTACGGTTAAACCATAAAAAAATTTTTAAAAAAGTGGAGGGTCTAACTTAGCGTTTTCAAAAGTTATTTCCGGAAGTGCGTCCATTTTGAAAATATTTTACATCGATTCGGCCTTCGGAGTAACTCCTAAATACAAATTTTTTAAAACCTACCTATTTTA